TTTTTTTTGGTTTTTTTGTTTGTTTTTTTGAGAGGGAGTCTTGCTCTGTCCAGCACCTGGAGTGCAATGGCAACATTTCGGCTCACTGCAACCTCTGCCTCCTAGGTTCCAGCGATTCCCCTGCCTCAGCCTCCCGAGTAGCTGGAATTACAGGCGCCCACCACCATGCCCAGCTGATTTTTGTAGTTTTAACAGAGACGGGAGTTTCTCCATTTTGGCCAGGTTGGTCTCGAACTCCTGACCTCAAGTGATCTCCCCATCTCGGCCTGCCAAAGTCCTGGGATTACAGAGGTGAGTCAACATGCCAGGCCATAATGAAACAGATTTCCAATGCCAGATTCCACAAGTGGATTTCTTCGTTAATGAGGGAGGATAATAGCTATTCTGAGCTTCAGAGTCATAGAAAACTAGACAAGAACCTTACACTTTGCAAAACTAATATTTGAAATATTACCTTGTGTTAAAGTTGATCATTTAAAAACGTATCATTTTAGCACCCCCATGGATAGGTTTCTGCTGAGTTAAGAATTAATGTGATGGCCAGCTGCTGTGGGCTCACGCCTATGATGCTAGGACTTTGGGAGGCCAAAGCGGACGGATCACTTGAGGCCAAGAGTTTGAGACCAGATTGGCCAACATGGCAAAATCACATCTCTACTAAAAATACAAAAATTAGCCAGGCGTGGTGGCTTGCGCTTGTAATCCCAGCTGTTCGGAGACTGAGGCGGGAGAGCGGGAGAATCGCTTGAACCTGGGAAGCGGAGGTTGCAGTGAGCCGATATCACGCCACCGCACTCCAGCCTGGGCGACAGAGCGAGACTGTGTCTCAAAAAAAAAAAAAAAAAAAAAAAAAAAAAAAAAAAAAAAAAAAATAGTATGCTTTCGAAATTGCGTTATTTAGCCTGCTCTTCCTTCTCCTCCTCCTGTCAATTATCTCAATAAAATCTCATTAAAATTGCAGTGTTAAAATGTTTCAAATTCTATTTTTAGGTAGAGATTAAAATTGGTTATATAATGCATTCATCACAACAGAAGATGGTCATTGCTAAATTCTTATCAGTTCTTTGTATCTCCTTAACATTTTATGTTTCTTTTTGTAAACTAGTGAGAGTGGTGCTCCTGTTTTCTCCCTGTTTCAGAGAAAAGGGCCTCTGAATATCAATCAATTCCGAAGGGGTACTGGATGTCAAAAGAATATCAACAACATAGGTAAATAGGACGGCAAACGGCCACGATTGCCCAACCTAGCGCAGAGATGGCATCCCCAGCAGAGAGAGAACGTTATGTGAATCCTTCGATAGCTCAGTTGGTAGAGCGGAGGACTGTAGTTGGATATTTCCGTAGACATCCTTAGGTCGCTGGTTCGAATCCGGCTCGAAGGAGCTCATGCTTTTTTGCGTGTAAGTTTTAAGACTCATTCTCAGAAATGAGTATTTCACTTATACATATCCTCGATGAGAATCTATTATAAAACTATTTTGGATGTGCAATGAATCTCTTTAATTTTTTATTATTCTCCGTAATAATTTTTAACACGCGCCATCAAGACTTCATCCCTGTAATTCATATAATCCAACTCTCTTAGAAGTCCTGGGCACTGAGGAAGTGAATCAGACACTGGTCCACTGGGCTAGAGATCCACAGAGGCCTCTCCACCCCTTAACTCCGGATCCACAGCCTGGGGAAAGGGGCGGCTGGTGGGAATTACTCGGAGCAACTGGTAATTGGTGGGGCACGCGCGTCCCCTGGTGTTCAAAGTTCTGAATCGTTGAGAGTTACATGCCGAACCACTAGCGTCTGAACCCTACACATCTGAAGCCGGGATGACGTTCAAGGAGTCTATTCGCCCTTCTCCTTTTAATTGTCAAGGTGGTGGCTTTCAACCCTACCTGAGAATATGTGGTAGATATTAGAATCACCTGGGGAGATTTTACAAAGCATCTATGCTTGGGTTTCTTTGGAGGTAAGATTCAGGTATTGTAGTTTCAAAAGCTCACCAGGTGACTTTCATGTACTGCAAGTTTTGAAAAACACTGGTAGAAGCGAATTATTTTAGAAGAAAATAATACATACGGGAAAAAAATGGACAGGATTTCCTACCCACATAGGGAATTAGCTCACGAAGTAGAGATCTGGCATAACAGTGGTACATATTTGGTAATTTTGTGTCAATCTAATTACAGTATATTAATCCCATTGTATCCCTTTGTGTCTGAAAATGTGATCCCAGGTACCTATGGTAGAGTTCTTAATGACAAATATCTTTGTCTAGATCAAAGTAAGGAAGCGTTTTCTGAGGAATTTGTGCCTGGCAATTTCTTGTATGTGCCTTCCCATGTTTCCAAACTTTTATTTTTTATGAAAATAATTCTCAAACTTGGATATGTATCAGAACCACGTGGAAAACTAATAAAAAAAAACACAGAAGCCAAGGCTTATTGAATTAGGGTGGTGGTTGGAGAGCCCTGCCCAAAACGCATTGGAAGCCACTCCTATTAAGGGCTGGAGATGGATCTAAACTGATAGCTCCCCATGAACTTGCTTTTTGAAAGCTGGTTGGGGGCAAAAGAAAAATGGCCTTTTGTTTGTTTTTTGAGAGGGAGTCTCGCTCTGTCGCCCAGCCTGGAGTGCAGTGGCTCCATCTCAATTCACTGCAAGCTCCGCCTTCAGGGTTCAAGAGATTGTCCCGCCTCAGTCTCTCCAGTAGGTAGGATTACAGGCGTCCGCCACCACGCCGGGCTAATTTTTGTGTTTTTAGTAGAAACGGGGTTTCACCATGTTGGCCAGGCTGGTCTGGAACTCCTGAACTCAGGTGATCCACCCGCCTCGTCCTCCCAAAGTGCTGGAATTACAGGCGCGAGCCACCGCACCCAGCCAGAAAACAAAACAAAACAAAAAAATAGGTATTTTGAAAGGTAATGTTTGAGCCTTGAATGCGACATTTATTAAATAGTCCTGAACTAAAAATCTTCTTGCCAAGGCACAATAGATTTTGGTCCAGATGGATTCTCTATCACAATTCTCCCATATGCCAGCACCAGGAACAGCAGAAGACCCCCCACCACCCTCCGGCAAGTTATAGCAAGATGACTTCAGAAGAGGAAGAGTGAATGTCAAAACAAAACAAAACAAAACAAAAACCCTCAAACATACCTACATATGCTTTGGCCCTCCCTCATTTTATTTTATTTGTTTATTTTTTTTGAGACGGAGTCTCGCTCTGTCGCCCAGGCTGGAGTGCAGTGGCGCGATCCCGGCTCACCGCAACCTCTGCCTTCCAGTTTCAAACCATTCTCCTGGCTCAGCCTCCCGAGTAGCTGGGATTACAGGCATGCGCCACCACGCCCGGCTAATTTTTGTTGGGATTCATGCACCACCAAGCCCAGCTAATTTTTGTATTTTTAGTAAAGACGGGGTTTCACCATGTTGCCAGGCTGGTCTCGGACTTCTGACCTCTGGATCATCCTGTCTCGGCCTCCCAAAGTGCTGGAATTACAGATGTGAGCCACCACGCCCCGCCCATCCATTTTATTGAGATAATGGGAGTGCATTTGTTACAGTTGTAACAACTTGAGGTGGTCCTCAATAGGTCGGACATGTAGGAAATACATTCTAATAATAAAAATGTAATTTTAAAAATCTTTTAAAATTTGTAATACAGGGCCAGGCGCGGGGGCCCACGCCTGTAATCCCAGCCCTGTGGGAGGCCGAGGCGGGTGGATCACTAGAGGTTAGGAGTTCAAGACCAGCCTGGCCAACATGGTGAAACCCCGTATCTACTAAAAATATTCCGGGTGTGAAGCGGAGGTTGCAGTGAGCCGAGATCGTGCCACTGCACTCCAGACTGGGCGACAGAGTAAGACTGTCTCAAAAAAAAAAAAAAAAAAAAAAAAGGAAAAGAAAAAGAAAAGAAAAAAATTTGTAATATGTCCTCAGTCTGCTCTGATAAAAATGTAATACATAAACGTAATACATAAATGATCGAAGTGCATAATAGATTTGCCAATGCACCTGGCAGAGACCAACGTTCAGAACTGAAAACCGTGAGAGAAATTCCAAAGAACCCAGCTCTGTCTAGGATAGAACAGCCTGAGGACTAGGTGGCGAGGGAATCTTGAGCTTGAAGGAAAGACCACCCCCATTATGATATGGGAGTGTGTTGTTAGCTGTTTTTGAGTCAGCAAGATATTCATGGAAAGATAGGAGTAAAGGCCAAAGGGTAAGGTGTGAGAGGAAACTACATAAAACTGGAGAATGCGGGCATCGATCCCGCTACCTCTCGCATGCTAAGCGAGCGCTCTACCATTTGAGCTAATTCCCCTCGTGGAAGAGCACGTTTTACATCCTTTACCCTCTTTGATATCTGAAAGTAATTCAGGACTCACTGCTATTTCAATTGACTTTCGTCATTAGCCAATAGGAAAAAAATGAAGAACTGTGTATCAATGGTGACTAAAGAGCCTCAGCATGACTTCCGCCCCTCAGCGCCATCTATAATCTGTTTTACCATGTCGGATCCCGTCGGGAGGAGACGACGGAGTGCAGGTGAACCAGGGAGTCAGGGTCCTTAGAAAAAGCTGTCTTGGGGATCCGGGAAGAGGTTAACACTGGAATCACATCTACGGAAACCGGGAACTGGAAGCAAATTGAGGATGCAGCCAGAAGGGAAAATCAAGTTTTTCAAGCAATGAGGTTCGGCCTTGGCCTAACCAATAGTTTCTACCTCTCTCCGCACCCCTAAAATTTTCATCTATTCATCTGGTTCCAGAAACAGATTATCCAGCGTCTTTATAGATCTACGAATGTCCCTTAAAGTCGGGAGCGGTTGTTCACGCCTGTAATCTGAGCACTTTGGGAGGCCGAGGCGGGTGGATCACTTGAGATTAGGAGTTCGAGACCAGCCTGCCAATATGGTGAAACCCTCGTCTCCACTAAAAACACAAAAAATTAGCCGGGCGTGGTGGCGCACGCCTGTAATCCCAGCTGCTCGGGAGGCTGAAGCAGGAGAATCGCTTGAACCCAGGAGGCAGAGCTTGCAATAAGCTGAGTTCGCACCACTGCATTCCAGCCTGGGCGACAAAGTAGTAAGACTCCCTCTCAAAAAGAAAAAGAAAAAGAAAAAAAATCCACTTTTTGTCTGGCTTTGTCACCGCCGGAGGACCTGTGGCCACGAGGGGGCGTGCGTCCCATTGGATTTCTCTATTCTGGTTTCTGTAGTCCTGATTTCGATCAAGGGGTGTACAAATTATTTTTCTAAGGTAAATATTAGCAAGAGAAGTGAATATACTTATGGCTGCAGACTTAGAGGCAGAGTGTTTGCACAAAGACAAATGCTTTAGTTGCCACTTTTTCTTCTGGGCCTACTGAGTACCAGGTACTGTGCCAGGTGCTAGGTGCTAGGTACTGTTCAGCAGAAGCTAGTTGAGAAAAGGAGGATCCGTTGGGCATTGCTAGAGGCCCATCACTCTCAGAAATGCCATACGAAAGCTGTCACCCAATATCTGCACCTTCAACTGCTTCTTTTCCAGAAATTCCATCATTAGAAACTTCCTTTTTTTATTTTCTAGTCTCAATGGAATTGGGGCAAGATGCTAAAAACTGAAAATGGAGAAGACAAAATATCTTATTTAAGAAAGTGACTATGCTGCTCAGGACATAATAGGTCTTTTAAAGACCTTAAGACAACCTTTAGTACTTGCTCTTCTCTTTTGCTTTTTCATTGCAATCATGGCTGACAAAAAGTGGATAACTCTGTGGGAAGAAGACCTCCCAATTTCCTGCACCCACCATTTTAGACAAGAGAGTTAAAAACTCAGATATTAGACAGGCGCAGTGGCTCAATCCCGTAATCCTAGCTCTTTGGGAGGCGGCTGGATCATTTGAGGTCAGGAGTTCGAGGCAGGAGTTCGAGACCAGCCTGAGACCAACATGGCGAAACTCTGTCTCTACTAAAAATACAAAAATCAGCTGTGGGCCGTGGTGGGTGCCTGTAATCTCAGCTACTTGGGAGGCTGATGCAGGAGAATCACTTGAACCTGAGAGGCAGAGGTTGCAGTGAGCAGAGATTGCACCACTGCCCTCCAGCCTGGGCGACAGAGCAAGACTCTCTCAATAAACAAAAAACCAGATATTCTAAGTGTGTGTAGAAACCCACCACTCATCTTGGAACTTGGCTCAAAGTCAGCCTTGCTTTGAGGTTCACACCACCTAGGTGCTTTCTCCTTCCACCCTGGACAGAATTTATCCAGTCAGTTTGGCCTCCCCTTACTCTTTTCTGTTTATTTTCTATGACTCTATTAGCAGCGCAGGTGTGGAAATGAGGTGAAAGAAAATTAGCCCAATCCCATAGTTCAGATCCATGGGTTGTGTGTTGGCATGACTGCAAACTGGGAGCAATTGGTTTGCCTAGGGCTTTTGAATTGGGAGTTCTGGTTTCCAGCAACATTGGATTAGGTATCAAATTTTACAACTTCTTAGCTTCCACAGAAGTAAATTAAGGTCAAGAAACCCCATCTCTACAAAAAGTACAAAAATTAGCTGGGCTTGGTAGCGTGTGCCTATAGTAGTCCCAGCTACTAGGGAAGCTGAGGTGGGAGGATCACTTGAGGAGGGTGAAGTTGCAGAACTGTGATCATGCCTCTGCACTCCAGCCTGTGCGACAGAGTGACAGACTGAGACGCTTTCTCAAAAAAAAAAAAAAAAAAAAAGAATATCTTAAAGTTCACATGGAAGTGTTAACAGTTGTTAGCAGTAGTTAAACTATTGACTCTCAACTCCACACCCACTGCTATGGACTGAATTGTGTTTCCTTAAAATTCTATGTTGAATCCCGAACCTTTAAAGTGACTTAGTTGGAGTAAGGAAGTAGTTTAGGTTAAATAAGGTCATAGGGATGGGCCTTGATCCCTAAGATTAGTTTCCTTATAAGAGGAGACAGAGTACTCAAACCATGTGAAGACACAGCAATAAGATGTCCATCTGCAAGCCAGGAAGTGAGCCCTTACCAAGAACCAAATCAGTTAGCAACTTAATCTTGGACTTCCCAGTCTCCAGAACTGTGAGAAAACAAATTTCTGTTGTTTTAAGCCACCTAGTCTGTGGTATTTTTGTCATAGCAGCCTGCTAGAGTTTGAATGTCTGTGTCCTTCCAAAATTCGTTATACTGAAATCTAAGACCCAATATGATAGTGTTAAGATGTGAGGACTTTAGGAAGCCATTTGGCCATCAGAGCTATGCCATTTCTTTTTTGTGGGGGGCCTTCTCTTTCTTCTGCCATATGAGAACACAATGTTTCTTCCTTTTACCCTCCATTTCTTCTGCCATGTGAGGACACAAACATAGGTGCTATCTTGGAAGCAGAAAGCAGGTCTCACCAGACACTGAATCTGCTGGTACCTTGACCTCGGATTTCCCAGCCTCCAGAACCGTGAGCAATACATTTCTACATTTTTATTTTATTTTATTTTATTTTTGAGATGGAGTCTCGCTCTATCACCTAGGCTGGAGTGCAGTGGTGCAACCTCGGCTCACTGCAGCCTCTGCCTCCCGGTGTCTCCTGCCTTAGCCTGCCCAGTAGCTGGGACTATAGGTGTGAGCCACCATACCTAGCTAATTTTTGTATTTTTAGTAGAGATGGGTTTTCACCACGTTGGCCAGGCTGGTTTTGAACTTCTGACCTCAAGCGATCCACCCACCATGGCCTCCTAAAGTGCTAGGATTACAGTTGTGAACCAGAGCACCTGGCCTCCACTCTTTATAAATTACCCAGTCTCAGGTATTTTGACACGCAGAACAAATGGATTCATCATACCGAATACTTCCAGTGTTCTGAAAAAACTGCGTTAAAACCAATTGTAGTTTAAAAAATGAGTATCAATATAATTAAAACTGAGTCTCCTTAATGCAACAAGACTTGAAGACCCAGAAACTTTCAGGACACATATTTAGGAATTCTAGAGAACAAACAACTGTATGTCCTTTGATAGCTTGGTTGGTAGAGCAGAAGACTGTAAGTTTGTTTAAACTTAAGGCATCCTTAGGCCGCTGGTTTGAATCCGCCTCGGATGATGTCAGTTTTTGAACTACAGGCTAATTAACGAACTTTACGAAAATAAGGCTCTAGACGGGAAAACGTATTAAGCTGCTCTTTAATCCCTTCTTTAATCCCCTTTATGATACAGGAAGTAAGACTCTTAATCACATTGCAGTTTTACCACTTGACCCTATGGGTAAGCTTTGCCAAAAGGGAGGCTACAGACTCCAAGGCTGGAGGTGAGAAAGTGAACTTGTTTTCTTTCTGGGGCCTTCCTGTTTCTCTAGGTGTCACCCCAGTAACCCTAACAGAGACAACAGCTTTGTAGCAGCCCCGTCTCGAAATTTCACTTCTTATTGGCATCTCTGTAGCTTTTCCTCGTGGTGTCCAAGGTACAGATAGGATACACAATAATGTCAAGAGAGGCTGTCCACATCCTAGGATCACTCCTCTCTAGCTGCTAGCTCTCTATTAGGTTAGAAACATTGAAAGTTATCATCTACTATTTTCTTAGTTACTCATGCAAGGGACTTAATTACGGAGTTCAATATCAACTGTATGCTATTAATATTTCTGACAAGAGGCACTGGCAGTTGCCATTTGAAGAAAAACTTGGGATTTTTCCTTTTAAAGCCTTTCTTGCGAGACAGATTTAACATATTCCCCATTTCTGCCTTAGATATAAGGAAGCTGAGCAGACAACAGTCTACACAGAACCTCTCACTATGTTGGACAATTTGCTTTGAAAAAGGAATATTTATATTTCCACGTAAAGTTTTCAAGAGTTTTTGCTTCATTTTAACTGCTCCACCATGGTTATGTAATATACACTCAAATTTACACAAACACGCACAGATGACACTTCCATGTTTCAACACTACACTTATGAATGTACACAATTTATCATTCGACTTTCAGAAAGGAGAACTGCAAGGATACCGGAATGCTTTGTTCACAACCCTGGGATCCTCATCAACCCAGTTGTCTGTATTTAGGGCAACCATAGCATTTATCAAGGAAATCCAGACACTTTTAAGAGAGAAAAGAGGAGTTAATCACACAAAACAGCAGGACAGAGGGCGTAATCTGGGAGATTGTGTATATCTAGGGGAGGAGGACGGGGGATTCCAGTAAGGTTTTTGGTTTGAACTATACATAAATATCCTAATGTTTTCAATATAAAACCCAATGCCTTTTACATATTTATAACCATGAAGCCAATTACCTAGATCATTACACAGAATAATTCCGGTGTCTGAGAATACTGCTTTAAAGCCGATGGTAGTTTAAAAAATTAATATTAATATAATTAAAACCTAGTCTCCTAAATGGAACAAGACTTGAAAACCTAAGAACTTCCAGGAGGCACATTATTTTGGGGCTTCTAGAGAGCACAGAACTACGTGTCTAGAGAGCAAGGAACTTTGTGTCCTTCGATAGCTCAGTTGGTAGAGCGGAGGACTGTAGGTTCTTTAAACCAAGGTATCCTTAGGTCGCTGGTTCGAATCCGGCTCGAAGGACGGTAGTTTTGACCTACGGGTGAATGATTCCAGACATATGATCTTTACGAAAATAAATAAAGATCCAGACAAAAACATGTAACAGACGGCTCCTTAGGCTCAACCTTGCGCAAGGAGACAATTTTTGGTTACATGCGTAAAATATTTTAGGAATAAACCAGAAACGTGGTAGCTTCACCAAAGGGCGCCTGCGTAGATGAAAAGCAGTGTTTACAGGAAGTCTGAGGCTTCACTTTTTCCTTGTGAAATTTGTACCTCACAACACTTCACCTCCACTCCCTCCCTGAGTCTCCTCCTGGCTCTTGGTTTCTTGATGCCATTCTTATTTCCCGCTACTGATCATGAAATGCAGTTTTTATTCCCACTTTCCCTCCCCAGCCCCGACCCGAGTTGACGTTCCACCAGCAAACCACAGCCAACGCCCGCAATGTAGTTCAGTTAAGAAGGCGCATGGGAGGTGTGGGGAATGCCACGAGCACCCTGGCCCCAAGGTTTTCATTTCAGTTTTTATTGGAGGTTAGAATATACGAAGACTTTTGGGGTCCTCTATCTTGTTACTTTTCTTCTTCTCTCCTTCTGTTTCTCTGTGTGTGGGGGTTTTTGTTGTTGTTGTTGTTGTTGTTGTTGTTGTTGTTATTTTAGACAATCTCGCTCTGTCGCCCAGGCTGAAGGACTCACTGGACTTCCTGGGCTCAAATGATCCTCCCACCTCAGACTCCCGAGTAGCTGGGACTACAGGCTCGAGTCACCACCCCTAGCTATTTTTGGAGAGAGGAGGGGTGTGGTCGGAGAGTCTCGCTTTGTCGGCCAAACTAGTCTCGAACTGCTGGATTCAAGCGATCCGTCCGCCTCGGCCTCCCACAGTGCTGGGATTACACGAATGAGCCACCGCGCCTGGCCAATACTTTTTTATTCTTCCGGCACAGAAAATGAAGAATAAAATTTGAGAACTTTTTTATTTTTAAATTTTTGGTTCAGGGGCTACATAGGCAGATTTGTTACGTGACTAAATTGCGTGTCGCTCGGTTTTGGTGTGCGAACATCCCCATCACCAAGGTAGTAATCATAGTACCCGATAGTTTTTCAACCCTCATCCTCCTTCCATCCTCCTGCCTCTAGTAGTTCCCAGGGTCTATTGTTCTCACCTTTGTGTCCATGTGTACTCAGTGTTTAGCTCCCTACTTGTAAGTGAGAGAACATGAGGTATTTGGTTTTATGTTCCTGAGTTAATCCACTTACAATAGTGGCCTCCAGCTGCACCCATATTGCTGCAAAGGACGTGATTTTGTACTTTTTCATGGCTGTGTAGTATTCCATGGTGTATATGTATCACGTTTTCTTTATTCCACCCTTAGTGGGTATGTAGGTTGATTCCATGTCTTGGCTATTGTGAATAGTGCTGCAACAAACATACTTATGCATGTGTCTTTTTGGTAGAATGATTTATTTTCCTTTGTGTATATACTCAGTAGTGGGACTGATGAGTCAAATGGTAGTTCTAAGTTATTTGGGAAATTTCCAAACTGCTTTGCCCAGTAGCTGAATTAATTTACATTCCCACTAATAGTGGGAATGTAAGCATTCCCTTTTCTCTGCCACCTTGCCATATATGCATTATTTTTGATGTTTTAATAACAGCCATTCTGACTGATGTGAAATGGTATCTCATTGAGGTTTGATTTGTGTTTCTCTAATTAGTGATGTTGAACATTTTTCGTATATTTGTTGGCTGTATGTATGTCTTCTTTTAAAAAGTGTCTGTTCGTGTCTCTTGCCCATTTTTTATTGGAGTTATTTGTTTTTTGCTCATGGAATTATTTAAGTTCCTTATGAATCCTTAGCATTAGAGCTATGTCGGATGCATAATTTGTGAATATTTTCTTCATTCTGTAGAATGTCTATTTACTCTGTTGACAGTTTTTTTGTTTGTTTGTTTTGTTTTGTTTGTTTTGACACAAGAGTCTCACTCTGTAGCCCACGCTGGAGTGCAGTGGTGCGATCTCAGCACATCACAATTTTGGCCTTCCATATTCAAGTGATTCTCATGCCTCTGCCTCCTGAGTAGCTGGGACTACAGGTGTGTGCCACCATGCCTGGCTGATTTTTGTATTTTTAGTAGAGATGGGATTTCACCATATTGGCCAGGCTGGTTTCCAACTCCTAGCCTCAAGTAATCCACACGCTTCCACTTCCCAAAGTGTTGGGATTACAGGTATAAGTGAGTGAACCAGGCCCCTTGATAGTTTCTTTTGCTGGGCAGAAGTTCAATTACATTCCCCTTAACAATTTTGGTTTTTGTTGCAAATACTTTTGGAGACTTAGTCATAAATTACTTGCCAAGGCTGATGTCCAGAATGGTATTTCATAGGTTTTCTTCTAGAATTTTTATAGTTTGAGGTCTTACATTTAAATCTTGAGTTAATTTTTGTATATGGTGAAAGGTATGGGTCCAGTTTCAATCTTCTGCACATGGTTAGCCAGTTATTTCAGCACCATTTATTGAACACAGTCCATTCTCCATTGCTTGTTATTTTGT